GTCTGGAGAAGTTTGAAGGAAAATAAATGCAAACCTTACACCAACTCCAACTTCTCATAATGCTACTTACAAAGTAAGAAATCATAGAGTAAGATCACTCAGTTAACAACCCCAGCCAGAAAGCTAAATGCTCATCAAAGACCAAACAGGATGACCGCAGATTTGTTAGGAGAATGGTCTTGTTCTGGTTTCTACACTTACGGCTTTTTACTAGCTAAGGAACAAAGAATTTTTGATGTTTCAACCTGATTGCATATAAAAACTAATGGCAAGTTTAACAATAGAGTCTAGACTGGGGATATAAGTCAGTGGTAGAACACATCCAAGGTTCTGGGTTTGTACTGCAAGTAAGAGAGAGAGAAAGAGAGAGGGAGAAGAGATGGGTGGGAAGAGAAGAGAAAAGTGGGGAGAAGAAAATGGAAGAGAACAGAAGGGAGAAAAAAGAAAATGGAATTCTGAGGCAGCCCCAGATTTGGTTCAGTAGACATGACAATCTAGGTTTTCAAAAATAGTTGTGATAAGAAAAGTCTACAAATTCCAATAGGAAACAATTGGTTACGTGGTGGGGATGCTATATTATAAATTGAAAACTTTGAAAGTGTAGAGGATAGATAGGCTTTAGTAGAATATGTCAATTGAAAGGTGCTTGGAATGGGCTTTCAGAGAAGTCCTGGAATCTCTGTTCTGGTAAGGAACTGTATGTGTGCATTGTTACCATTCTTTAAATTGTTTAGCCATTCATCTTATGAATTTAGAGTCTCTTGGCTCTTGATTAATACAAATAATAACTTTAAAGAAATGTAAGGTAAGAATTCAACAGCATTAAACTAGGAGAAAGGTAAAGATATCTGCATTTTAGTAGCACCACTGAAAATCAGAGTCCTGACACTGTTCTCTCTCGGTCAGATTGTCTCTAACAGAATAATGTGAACTTGTTGGCTTACACAACAAACATTTATGTCTCCCAATTACAGAATTTGTAAAGCCCAAGATCAATTGAGAGCACTCTTCTCAATTTTCATGCCTTTTATTTTCTCTGTGAGTACAAAGAAGGAAAACTCTTGAGTCTCTTCTTTTAAGAGCACTAATTCCATAAAAAAAGGCTCTATCCTGATGACTAGCTTACCTCCAAACACAATCACACTGGGAGTTAGGAATTTCACATGAATTGAGAAGAAAGAAGAACTATTCAGTCCATATCACTAGGTAAGCCTATCACTAAGCCTGAATTAGGCTTCTGTCGGCTTCAGGGTCTTTCCAAGGAAACCAAATCTTTTGAAACCAGAAATAATCGCAAGTGCTCTGATTTTATGTGATAATTGCAATCCATTTTGAACAAAATGGCCAGAGGAGCTCATGGCATTCAAGGGCAAAAGTCCATTCTATAATCTCAGCTTCATTCCCTAAGTGAAGATCTACAGGTGTGTACATCAGAAACATGTTCTTGGACTCCAAGAAACCAGCCAAGTGCCTTGAGAGCTGTTTAATAATAAGACTTCAAGAGAGAGGTGACATGTGTAATAACTAGAATATATTTATAAATGTACAAGTTAATCCAATGGATAACAAAAGACAAATAATTACACTTAGACATGATTAATTAAACAGCATCACACAGTGAGAACACAGGAGGATATTCTTAGGAGAGGATCATAATGGCTCAATGTGCATATAACCATAGAAAAGGATGCATATCAAAATCAACTCCAAGAAATGGAAATGAAAGGTTTATTTTTATTGTACTGCTTGCAGTTATGTCTTTCTTCTCTCCTTTGGTTTATTTCCTGTTGTCACTGTTTTTGATTTCTGTGTCCATTGTCTTCTAGGTAAGTTTACCTGACTTGGGGAAGGGAATGGGAATCACAGAAACAAACAGTGGGACAAAGGTGTACCAATGCAACACTAATACTCACTAGAAACTGTTGGAAATAAACTTTACAACTTAGAGGGAAGAAAATGGGGGAGGGATGTGGGAGAAAACGAGAGAGGGGGTAACACAGTTTTTTAAAAAAAGATACTCATTACCTGACTTGTGTAATTATAACCCCATTCTGAACATCACCTTTACAATAAAATTTCAATGAATGAAAATGGGAGAGAGGTGAAAACTAGGAAAGATCTCTAGAGAGATCACTGTATAAGACCGTTTTCGTTACAAGGGAGGAGAAACTGTGAGGAGATTCCACGAGGTCGAGTGGAATAGAGAAACTCCTGTTGAAGGGAAATAGGATCTCCTAGGAAATCAAAATTCTCACCCAGCCTCTCCTCCCTCCTATCTACAAGCCTTCCCTCTCTGGTCCAGGGACCCTTGCTTTTGGGCTGAAGTGCATGGCCTATCACATTGTCTGGGCATCACTCAAAACATCCAAACACAGTCTTCTTTATCCAAGTTTGATTTGTCTACCCTCACCCTGAGGTTATTAAACTGGCGAGGAAATATATGAAATCAACATTCTTGAAGAGTTCCTCACTGGGAAGGGAAAGGGAGGACTATTTCCATGGTTGAAGTGTTCTAACCAATTCAGAGAAAAATACCACATGAAGTAAAAATATTATCATTCTGGCCAAGGAAGGGTTTCCTTTATAACCATGCTGACATGCAAGGATTTTACAGCCTTGTCTTCTCCCGGGTGTCAGTGGTATTGCCTGCTCTCTCCATCTGGGGGCTGTTGATTCGACAGAAGCAGAGGAAGGATTTCATCTGTGGGATGTGGAAGAAAGGAGAGAGTCCCTGGGAGGGTTTAAACTCTGCATTGTGAAGTAAGCCTCATGTGGCAAAAGAATTGTAAAGCCTTCACGGACATAGATTTGACAAGGTATTTTTAAGTAGGACTTTCTTGAGTAGCAGAAGCCACATACCAAAGAATATGTAGTGTGCTATTTCATTTCTATAAATTTCAAGAACAAAGAAAGCTAATCCAGGTTGTGAAAGTGCATATAATAGAATACTTTATGTTGTGGGAGATTTTACTGAGAAGAATCACAAAGAGGAATGTTGAAGAGCTGAAATTGTTCAGGATCTTGGGCTCAGCAATATTACCAAACTGTATTCACATACAAAATCCATCAGGCTCTATACTAACGTGTATTTTGATATGTCTAATTAAGTATTCACTTCAAAAACTGTAAACCAGTCATCTGTTTTTCTGTTATACTTACGGATGTAGCATGTGGCACTGGCACAAAAGGCATCTGGGATGTTCTAGAAGATGGAGATGCTGTTAATGACCCCGGAAAGAATTAAAGAACACCAGAACAGTCAAGTGACACAGAAGGATCTTAGGTTCTGTCACTAAGCAGACCTAGAGCATAATCTACATCCTGCCTATGGGTTTTTGATTAAGCTTTACATTTCAGTATTCTCTAAAATATGAATAATAACATTTGCCTTTAAATACTCTTTGAAGGAATCAAATATGTAATGTGCATAGGATTTTCCCCCAAAATAATTGGAAATATAGCTCAAAAATGATATTTATTGTTAATAAACAGTAGATATGTGGCAACAAAGACTATGATGCTAAAACATCCTAGTTTTAAATATTTTTATCCTAAAATAACTCTTGAAAATAAAGGTTGGCTTTTAATAATTACCTAATTATATAAATAATATAATATATAAACACTATATATAATACCATATATTATGATTTATTATGTATGTAACATTTCATTTATTTCTAAGTAGGTATTATTAACATGTTAAGCTATTAAAGTATTTTTGTTCTTATGAAAACTATTTGAAATCAGAGACAACTTCATGATTCAGATCTTGGAAAAAACTTAAAATCTTTCTGTGTATTTCTTTATCTACAAAGTAGGAATAAAAACATGACTTTATTAGGAGTGTTTTGATTAATCAATTTATTATGAAGCAATCTCTTTCAATATGCCTGATGATGTTAATTTCAGATCAGTGATTCAATTTGGCAAATATTTACTTAATGTCCAAAGTAAGCCAGATATTATTTTAGATTCCAAGAATTAAAAACAATAAGACACATCTTCTACCTTGTAGAAACTTCCAATCTAGTGGCAAAGACTGACATGCCCATCTCTAGAAAACAGTATGACTAATGTAAATAGAGTAAGATATTAGAACACTGGGCAAACACACATATCAGGGCACAATGGTCAGTGAGAAGTCTGCATGGGATGGTGGTCTCATCTAAATTCTGAAGAGAAATCATGGCATATGAAAATGGCAATTTAAATCCACCAATGCTGGAATGGCCAAAAGGTTATTTATTATTTGAGAAGTGCAGTTGTGTCTGTAACCACAAGAGTCTGAATCAGGACTGGGCTCTTACAACAGTAAAACTGGAAGGTACCTTCTCTCTGCAATGAGTCAGAAGGGAATGGAATGGAATTCCATCCACCTTAAACAGCTTCTCTGGAGTCCATGTGTGTACATGAGAAGGAGGGGCAATTCTTTCAGGGCAGTATTGAGTCATAACTGCTTTAGAATCTGTGGAAAAGTATGGAAACTTTTCCAAGGAAAAATAAGCATGTAAATATACAAAAACAATTGTAGTAACCTCAGGGAGATTATTGCCCTTCCGAAGGATAGACTGAATCTGTTTTAAAACAATACTTGTACCGCTGCACCATTCTCCTCTTTGAAGAACCAACAGATATTAGAACAACATTATTGTCAAAGCAACAGAGTATCTGTGTAACAATTTTTCTATCCTCTATACTCCCTGGCATTTTCCAGTGTACTTGCATGTGAGATTTCTCCAACATGAAACTGAACTATAAATAGATACTTCGGAATTTCTCATAATCTTTTGGGAGAGATTTTTCAAATACTATTATTGCTAATCAATAGTCATGATTATTTTTAGTTTCTTAGCTTCACGTTCGAAGTGGACTGATAGGACTTTTGGCTTAAATGAACTATTTGTCTATCTGCTGATTTGCCTATCTTTCTCACATATTTCTGAGAGAGAATCCAGGCTTCTCTGACGGTGGGTCTATTTTGTTTCATGTCTTATCAGTAAGTTCCTGAATATACAGTGCCTGGAAAGTGGAATCTGGAATCAAGGAAGTTGCATCCCTGTGGTGTGTGAGCCTCTATCACCTGTTTTCGAAGGCATGTATGAATGTACCAATGGCTTCAATCTGGACAGCCAGTGTGTACTCAACTGCACCCAGGAAAGCGAAAGGGTAAGGAAGGCTCCTTGAGCTTTGTTTTGGATCAAGCTGATCTTGGATCTTGGCTGCGCCAAGAATGCTAAGTAGAAATTATCTGAAAGGATCCCAACAGACAGGACTTTACTCAATTGGGATTCTAACTGAGGATGTTGATATTATCACATAGGGAACTCAGCTAAGAGACCATGTTTTTGGAATATTTTCTCCCCAACTGAGAACATTTTGGGGGAAAATAAGAATCTGGTGAATAGGAGACTGGTACATCCCAAATAATACTAGAATCCTCATTTGGTAAAATAATCTCCTCTTACCAGTGACCACTGATTTAACTTGGCTAGCACTGCTAGTTTTATACTTTATTATTATTTTTAATAGAACAGAATCCTGAGCAGAAACACAAATTCCTCAGCAGGGTTGAAAGCACTCTTGGACTATGATAATCCCTAGGATTTTGGCACACAAGTATCAAATGAAAACCACAGCCTTATCACAGTTGTGTGACTAAAATCAGTTTTTGTGATTTTTTTTAAGAATCTTTTTCACCACGACACAAACACATGAGACAGGAAATCAAGCAGACTTCCTAGGCAAAGATCAATGACCTTGACTATTCCTTTGGCATATGTCTCTAACTTTGTGCCTAGCACTCCAAGGTAAGCATCGTAGATATGAAAGGAATATGCCATAAAATGACACCATGAGACATCAAACACATCCATCTGCACAGATTGGTTAAAGACCAAGGAGCCGGCCAGATGGAGTTTCCAAACTCTTATTTCCTTGGGTTTTTGTTAGTTTTTACTACACTGTGGTCTAGATAGAATATGCTTTGTGTTTATTGGGGCTGTGAAGCGAAGAGTTACACAAGCCAGCAAACATGTGGAGAAAAAAATTAACCTTTGCTGAGATCAAAAGCAACTGTGCTGTGTCTGTTCCAACAGAAAGGCAAAAACACACCTTGAAGAAAACTATGAATTTGTTTCAATGGAGGTAACTTATCTTGGAAAAAAATGTGCTACTTGCCATAGGCAGTATTTGTTTAAGAGTGTGAATCAATTAATATGAAATAATACCACATAGAGGACGAGGGAGGGGTGACACTGTTCAAAAGAAAATATACTTATTACCCGATTCGTGTAACTGTAACCCCTCTGTTCATCACCTTTACAATAAAATATTTTTAAAAATTAAAATAAAAAAAAACAAAATAATACCATCTCTAGAAGTCTTCCAAAAATAGCTCAAAATATATAGAATATGGCCAATAGCTCATCATAGGTTTATATCTAAAGAAAAATACATTGCTGAAAAATATCATTCATAGTAAAATTGTTCATGATTTCTTCCCATGGAAACAGTATGAAGTTTCTTTCTTTCTTTCTTTTTGCTATTTCCAACACCAAGTTTTTCAATACAATTTTTCTTCCTTCCCCTCCCTCCCTCCCTCCCTCCCTCCCTTCTTCCTTCCTTCTTCCCTCCCTTTCTTCCTTCCTTCCTTCCTTCCTTCCTTCCTTCCTTCCTTCCTTCCTTCCTTCCTTCCTTCCTTCCTTCCTTCCTTCCTTCCTTCCTGCCTTCCTTCCTGCCTTCCTTCCTGCCTTCCCTCTTTCCTTCCTTCCCTCTTTCCTTTCTTTCTTTTTCAAGCTCTGGGTTTGAATTTGGGGCTTCACACTTGCTAGGCAGGCACTGCACTACTGTCAGCTATTTTTGCATTCATTGGTGTTGTGCGATGGGATCTCCCTTTGTATCTGAGCCAGCCTGAATTGCCATCCCTTCCTGGCACATATCATAGGTGCACACCACCATGCCCTGTGTTGGTGGAGATGAAGCCTCATGATATTTTTGTACTTTTGTTGCTGTTTTTGCCCAGGGTGGCCTTCTGTCACAGTTCTTGGATTTCTGTTTAAGAAGAAGCTGAGTTTACAAGCTTGGTTCACTATGTTTGGCTCAGTAAAGTCTGTTAGAACAACTACTAGAAAGGGACGCACATTACCCTTTAATCACACCACCATTTCCCCCTTTACTTAATGTAGTTTAAAGACAATAATGGAAATGAGCTTTCCCTTTTATATTCCTAGATTCCTATCCTCTGCAATAAGGATGGAAAATGGACTCAGGAGTTCAAGTTGTGTGCAAATCTGCAAGGGGAGTGCCCACCACCACCCTCAGAGCTGAATTTTGTGGAGTACAAATGCGAAGAAGGATATGGGATTGGTAAGGACGGGAAGGGCAGGCTGGAGTCAGGTCAAAAGCCATCCTTACATTAAGCCTGCCATGGAATCAGTGTTTTCTCTGAGGAGAGAACAGGAACACAAACTGACTGAAGTGGGCAAATGCCCATAGGCTTTGGAGCTTAGTCCCCTATAGAGCTTAATGGCTGAAGAGAAGCACCAGTAAGAACAGTTACCTGCCTGCCTCAGCACCACTCTGAGCTAGTAACACCGACAGAGAGAAAGGGGGAACTCAACACACAAGTGGACGTGGCTTCATGTTCCTAACTTTCAGTAAGAAGGAAATTTGTGGCAAATTTGTTCTTTTAATTGTTCCACTTAGATATAATATCCGTATCACCACTAAGCCATCTGGTCATGTTACCAGAGTTGAGAGCGGTTCAGTTTGTGGCAAGAGAGTAGCTCCAAGAGGAAAGTTAGGAACATGAAGCCACGTCCACTTGTGTGTTGAGTTCCCCCTTTCTCTCTGTCGGTGTTACTAGCTCAGAGTGGTGCTGAGGCAGGCAGGTAACTGTTCTTACTGGTGCTTCTCTTCAGCCATTAAGCTCTATAGGGGACTAAGCTCCAAAGCCTATGGGCATTTGCCCACTTCAGTCATTGCAATGGCAGGTCTTTGTGGCTCAAGTTCACTTAAAGAAGTGTTGACCCAATTTAGCCAATGCTGGTACTCAGCATTGTAGCAAATAATATGAAATGCTGTGGTAGCACTGGTGACTTCTGATAACATTGGCAAGGCAAAACATGACAGCACATTGAAAGCTGTGTAATACCGATAAATATAATTTGTGTTAATTAGAATATTCATTCATTTCTGAAATGGTTCTTTACTATGTTTAAAGTGTTCTGCATTATATATAATATCTTGTGACTGGTGAATCAAGAGGTTCCCTGTATCTCTTGTGTTTCATGAACAGATTCTCATCCTTAGAACCATCAAGTATTACATAAGAATACCAAATGTTTACATATCCACAGTCCTAAAGAGTGATGTAATTTCTTTATTACAAAAGTTACCTAGAAACATACAGATAGGAAATGCTGAGAAGCATGGCTAACATCACATCAATAGACGAAGGAGTAGCAAACCCTGAGACTATGCTATCTTTGAGTAGAATCTTAAGAGATGTTTGGATCCCATGTGAAAATGAAGACCAAAAATATTTCCTCTGAGAGTCAACATGCAGCCAAAATCTCTGCTTCTGATTTTCTGTTGTTTCCTTCTTCAGTCACGTAGGTTACTTGGCTGTCTGTGTAACCATCTTTATTATATCAACGGGCAATATATTCCCTGTAGTAATTTTGTAATCACTGGACCATTTTCTCTCAGACATTTGAGTTATTAGTTAGTAGTCATCGCAAAGATGATAAGCTACCAGGAGACCATATAAGTAGGAAGGATATTAATTATACTTAAACGACATCAGCAATCAAGACAGGGTTTGGCAAGCCAATGCTAGAGAAGGGGGATGTGTATGCCTCTTGGTCCAGAATAGATTATTAATTGCTGGATGGTAGAGAGACTAAGAGATCCCAAAGGAAAGGATATTCAGCATTAGGCAATGAGGGGTAGGAAGTGAGAAAAGACTTGGGTAAGGAAAGTCAGTTTCCGACAGTAACATTTACTAATTTATGTAAAACTACTCCTACAGGAACATATAAATATCATATGTACTAGATGAGTATCAGTCCTGAATATAACCATCACAAAGTGATGACCCATAATGACCCATATACTTTTATGAAAAAGCAGATTTAACACACACAAATCTTATATCAACAGCTTTAAAGCTGTTGATATAAGATTTGTGTGTGTTAAATCTGCTTTTTCATAAATTTTATTGTCAAGGTGATATACAGAGTGGTTACAGTTACATAAGTAAGGTAGTGATTATATTTCTTTTTTTTTTTTTTTTTTTAATTTAATTTAATTTTATTTGTGAACATACTGTACAGAGGAGTTACAGTTACATGGGCAGGATAATGTGTACATTTCTTACCAAGCATTGCAGCCTCCTCCTTTGTTTATCCTTCACATCCCTTCCCAGCCTCCCCCCTCCCCCCCCCTAATCCCAATCCTTCTCCTTCCTCCCTCCCCCCAGCCCCCCCCCCCCCGTGATTATATTTCTTGTCTAACTTCTTACCCCTTCCCTCACTTTTTCCCTCTTTCCCTCCTTCTCCCAACTCCCTCCCAAGTTGTACAGATCATTTCCAACATATTGTCTTGTGAGTATTGCTGTTGCATAAGTTCCCCTTTTGTCCTTTGTCTCACCATTTTGTGGTTCCCCTTCCCTTCCCTAGTTCAGAAAATGTATATACAATACCCAGGGTACCAAAATCAAATACAGTGATAACAGGGGATAAACCATAGGGGCAGAAAACACAAAAGAAAAAAGAAATCATGTGGTACATTGAGAACAACAACAACAACAAACCCCTTGTGTCCATATCTTGGAGTTCATTTTGCTTAGCATCTTCTTATATGGGCATATGTACATAGTTATAGAACTATTCTGCTCAGCTGCTAAGATTATTCTAGATAGAAACTAATTATTACAAATAAGGGAGACCATGGGACTTATGTTTCTTTGGATCTGGATTACTTCACTTGATATGACTTTTTTCCAACTCCTTCCATTTCCTTACAAATGGAGCAGTGCCATTCTTTTATATATATATACATACATATATACATATATATATATATACATACATATATACATATGTGTATATATAGAGAGAAAGAGGGAGGGAGAGAGAGAGAGGGAGATAGATAGATAGATACCACATTTTCTTGATCCATTCATCTCCTGAGGGGCATCTGGGTTTGGTTCCTTAGCTATGGTAGCACAGATGCTTTCTTGGCTGCAGGAGCTAAAAAAAACAAAAAATCAAACCTGATGTAAGATTTTTAGAAGAAAGCTATGAGTTGGGAAATTCACGTCTCTGCTTCGTTTTGTTTTATTTCTTTAGGTGCAGTGTGTTTCCCATCCTGTGTAATGCCTGCTAGAGATCCCGTGACCCTGCCCCAGAATGTCACTGTTGACACGATGGAGCACTGGGTGGAAGCGGCCACAGTTGGGGTAAGAAATGGGAGTGAGTACAACTTTGTGCACCAAAGATGTTAAGGCTGCTGAGCGATTCCCAACTGGTAGGATATTTCCTGGGGTAATTTTGAGCCTTTCAAAGCATCCTTGACACAAACATCCAGACAGACCATTCCTATAACCAAAGATAATCAATCAGGTAGAGAAAGGAGAGAGGAAAGAAGAAGCAATTTCCCTTGTCTGAAGGAACGTTTAAAAACCTAAGGCAGAAAGAAGGTTCAGAGACATAAGTAATTGGGAAGAAAGTGACTACTAACTAAACCTGTGCAGTAGAAATTAGAACAATCCAAAGAAATATTTTTTAAAGTTAAAGGAAATAGGGAGATAAATTAGAAATACGTAGTTCCTTTGTCCATTTATTTAATGGGATTATTAATTCTTTGAGAGTTTAGTTTCTGGAGCTCATACATAGAAAGTAGTGCCTAATAAACCAAAGCAGTCAGATTGAATGAAACTCCACAGTGCATAAAAATCCTTATAATTCAAATTGACTGTACTCAACCTTAAATCTGGGTGTCTTTTGCTTGTGGTCCTAGGAATTGAACCCAGCTACTCTTGAGCATACTAGGCAAGTGTCTATCCCTTGAGCCATACTCCATCAGTTTTGCTCGTATATTTTGTTTTTGAACCAGTGTCTCTCTAACTTTCCCTGAGTGGACCTCAAACTTGTAATCCTCCTGCCTTTGCCTTCTGAGTAGCTTGGATTATAGGCACACCACAACACCTGGCTTTGGGTGTCTTCAAGGGTCACTTAGACACTATCTATAATAAGGAATAGTATAGGTTCCACCTTCTGAAACACTGGAATGAAGTGGACTGCATATCTTTCGCAACCATTCCAGGTAATTTCACTGTCATTGCTTTAACAATCTCTACATTTACAAAATAAAATACTTACAAGTATTTTAAGTATGAGCACACCTGTTTGGAGCATGGCTTATTGTTTTGCAAATCACATTTTACTGTGTCATGAAAATCCTCACCATCTATCATATTTCAAATACCCTTTTTTTTCAGGAAAGACTAGAGCAATGGATCAAAATTGCATAATTTTCTCTATTCTGCTTCCAATGACTTCATTCTTTAGAATAAAAAATGATAACATATTTGGACAATATGTTATTGTCTTCAAAGTTACATGTGTATGTGTTATTGTTTTGAATCTCATCACAAATGAATAAGATAGAGATTTTTATTATCTTCTCTTTACTAATACATTATATGTTGTTAGATAATCTGCCCAAGATTTCATTTGGCAAAAAGCAGAAGTATAACCAACCCTTTTGACTCCAAGTTCAGAATGACACCATCCATGTCACCCTGTTTGTTATTGGCTTGTGTGTGTGTGGGGGGGGGGAGGTTGGGTTAGTTTGTCTATGAAATTTTTTAAAAAGTCATTTTTCTCAACCACAAGATCATGTAATTTCTAGACTTTCCTCCCACCATCATGAAATCTAAGAAAAATAATTTAAGAAAAATATAATTAAAGAAACAGGAAGTGGCGCTGTAGCTCAAGTGGTAGAGCGCTCGCCTTGAGCTGAAGAGCTGAGGGACAGCACCCAGGCCCAGAGTTCAAGCCCCACGACCGACAAAAAAAAAAAAAAAGAACCAATGCTTCAATTTTCCTTCCTTTTAAGCATGGAACCATTCTCTCTAGTCATCAACTTTGCATTACTGGGAAGAGCAGATGAAACAGACTTGAGAGAAGAAAATCCAAAAAGCAAATTGTTTTGGTCCAAATGAACAGACAACATGATGCTATGTTTTATTTAGTTACAGCCACGAGCAATTTGCTGCAAGCCAATTGAAGAAAGATATAGTATTCTTATTTTGAGAGGATTTGTCATTTTATTTGTTTTTTTAAAGAACAAAAAAGTATATGTTTAGATATCTACAGAGTTTATTTGACTTTCTTGGGGTTCCTGTTGATTTTTATTCCTGCAAATTCTGTCAGACTTCTACCTAGAATAATATACTTTTTTAATGTTTTTAAATTAATTTACCTTATTGTTATCATAAAGGTAATGTACGGAGGGATGACAGTTACGTGCGTTAGGTAATGAGTGCATTTCCTTTCATACATTGTCTTTTGTTCTCTCATTCTGTCCCAGTTCCTCCCTCCCATCTCTATCCACAAGGTACAGAGTTCACTTTTACTAGTGTCCATTGAGCTCCATGGTTGCATTTGTTCACAAGGTTTCCTTCAAGGTCTGTACCCTCTCCCACCCTCACAAAGGTATACACTCGAATACACCCTATATAAAAAAAAAACAGAAGACAGAATCATCAAAAGTATTTTTAAGAGAGACATCTTGTTTCTATATCTTGGAGTTTGTTTTGATATATATATATATAATTTGATATACATATGAAGAGGCAGGTAAACATAGTGCCTTTTTGTTTCTTTCTATACCCTTTTGGTCTCATTGTGTGTGAGTGAATAATATAGTTTTTATTAAATATACTTTATTAAATATACTTTTTATTAAAGGATAAACAATAAAACAAGCAAACAAAAACTCAAACCTGTGAGGTTGAACTGTTTATGATTGTCTTTACTCACTATGTTAAGAGAGTGTTTTATTATATTTTATGCCTGAAATCAGAAATTTAAGTTTCAAAGCAGTGATCCGTCAGGAAACCGATTTTACGAGAAGTTTTTTTTAAAACACAATGTGGCAATTGTTTGCCTCTAAATGAGTTTTCCTAAATTGTATTTGAAAGTATTTCTTGTTGAAGTACAAAGGCATGCATGGTAACCTCTCATTTCCCCTATTATTTTGCTTCATAAATTCCGTTTTCATAGGTTGAATAATGCTTTTGTTTTCTTTTTTTAGTACTGTCATAATTATGAATTAGTCAGATCCACATTAATGAGATTTTCCTGTGTCTGCACAGGATGGTTTTTCAGAGTCTTAAAACAGTGTGAAATCTCTCTATGCTCCTCAGATCATCGACAGAATGGTTCAGTCACATTAAATGTGTTTTCCCAAATCCACCCTCAAAGGACTGTTAATTTTGTAAAGGAATAGAAGAGATTAATGAGAAGAGAAAAGCAGGGGGAAAAGGTAAAGGTAGTTCTTTCCTAAAGCTGTAGCTTTGAACTTAATGACTATTAGTACTCTGGCTAGTGTTTCTGGCTTAGTACTGAATCCTGTTCCCAAAGTGTCCTCTTGTGTGAATGATGTGTGTGAGATTCCCAGTGACACTTGCTACAAACGAGAGCAGATAGGACATGAGGCATGAAATGCCTTGGTTTTCTTTCCTTTTAAGCATGGGACCATTCTCTCTTGTCATCAGGTTTGCATCACTGGGAAGAGCAGATGAGACAGACTTGAGAGAAGAAAACCCAAAAAGCCAATTGTTTTGGTCCAGATGAATGGACAACATGATACTATGTTTTATTTAGTGGCACACACATATATATCCATGAGCAATTTGATGCAGGCCAAGGCAAATGTAACACTTTGCGTGCTGCTGTGACTAGCAACTATTAGTTAACTATTCCTGACAAAAACACAACTATTACTACTAAGAATAACTGATACATTTTTGTTAGGTTTTAAATCTTTTAATGTCACTTGTGTGACATTTCACAAGAAATATAACTAGCAACAGCTTCACAAAGTCTTATGACCATCTTAAATACCTATAACTTTTGCTTTATTTCCCCCCTCTATTTCTTTTCTCCTTTCCTTCCTCCTCTTTCTACCTCTCTTTCCTTTTTTGCTTTTTAAAAGACATTTTTAAATATTATTAGATTCAGAATAGTTGCTTAGCAAGAGGGGGAAAAGATGGAGAACGATATTGGAGGGCCAGATGTAGAGGACAAGGCCAGAATTTGTTATGAGTTACACTCTGGAAGCCGAAAGAGGAAAGTGTCAAAGCTTGGTGAAGATGGGCAGAGGATTTGGAATTGTTCTCTTATTCTCCATAGCTTTTCAAGTGAAAACTATGCAATGGTCACCTGCCAACAATATTCCAGATATAAGAAAGTCAAATTCACTACCAGCTAGCTAGCTCCTCTATCTGTCCCTCTGCTCCTTTCCTGATTCACTCTCCTCTTACCTTTCCAGCATGCCTGTAAAATCCAGTCCTGAAAAACCCTTGGAATTGCCTTCCAATTAGAATAAATAACTAGTAGTTCAATTAAGAGCATAAGCATATCTGTAGATAAGAGATGTCTTTATAGGATGCTTGATTTGCATAGGCTGGAACAGGAAAAATATAGAAATCTAGCATTGCCTTTTATGGTTGGCAAATCCTTAACAAATATATTTTTGTAAGTCAGAGTTAAGGAATAGGAAGATTGTTCTCCCCAGGGGTTTTGAACTCTGGTAAAAGATTATGACAACGATTAGGAGTGTACCAATCTGAATTTGTCTCAAGACTGAAGTATACAGCATTAGAACATTGGTGTAATAGATGCTGACAAATCTATTTGTATGAGTTTGTTTTATAAATATAATTTTATGGGTAAAAAGATTTTATATAAACTTTTATTGTTACAACAAAATGACAAAAAATGACTAAGTATCCACCCATTTCAATCTAGCTAAATAAGTTAGGGTACATTTATGAGATGAATTTCTATTCATTCAATATAATACCACATCTCAGATATCACAAAATAAACAGAACTCCATAACACTTATGCAGTAGGATAAAGTAAAACTGTGATAATACCAATAATAATAAGCCGAAGTGAAAAATGAAATTATAGCAGTCTATGGCTTGTGAAGAAAATTATAGATAGAATATATAATGTACATTATACATTATACACACACATAGAGTTTGCATAGTTTGTTTGTAGTTGTATGTGTGGAATTCCTCAGTATGATTCAAAAAATAACCTTGTATAAAAGAAGCTAGGTAGTTGGGAAAGAGGAGTAGGAGAAGGCTGTGTTCTTTTATGCCATTTATATTTTACTATATGAACATTTTATTATATTTAATAAAAATAAAATTACATAAAAATACAAATACCTCCAAATAAATTGAAAATAAGAGAATTAGGAAAATGTGCCTTAGGGGGAAAATTGGATATGAAGACAAATTCTTATTCCTTTTCTTTCTTTTACAATATTTTGTATAATTTATGGACTGTTGGAAGACATAACTGCATTTTTATAAAATCTGTAAACAAGTTGAAGGTGGAAAGGGCATAAAAGATTTTGACCCTATCAGTTCAGAATATTTTGGTGATTTCTGATTGTCAGGGCCATATGAGTTTGCCAAAGACAAGACTTCCCTTATTTAGAAGAACTGGTATTCTTTAAGTATCCTCTATCCCAAATTTTGAGCTCTTTAGGAGCCACACTATGGGTTTATACATCCTCTTGCTCACTGAAATCTGGTTGTTAGCAAGTAAGACTTGTATTATCCATCTGTTCTGGGGAAGGGACCTCTAAAGGCAGTGTTATACAGAGGAATAAGACTGCTAGCATCTTTCAAGGGGACAAGTTAAGGCAATTTTCCATTCCCACTTTCTGAGGTCAACAAAGAAACAAAACATAAGTGCATGAAGTAGTAATAATCATGAACCCTGCTAAGCAGAAATCCAAGGAGCTGTGTTTCAGCACATAAATCAACATCATTTCTAGTTATCAGAGATGTAGTTAATATGCAAATGGTTTTGCTAAAGTGGCTTTATGTGCAGGAAAATAATAATAATTTTTCATCCTGGTTATGTTTACTTTATATATTTGTTTTAACAATCCCTTTTTCATTGCAGTGATAACAAATCAAGTCATTTTCTAATAATAATAGATAACAGTATGGAAATTTGAGTATCAGACTTTGTGATGATTTATTCTATTTCCTCTTTAGGGAAGTTGTGAAAAATAATTTTGGCTTTTAGTAGTAAAACTCTCTATAAATATTGCAGACTTCTATTCTCATGGCCAACCATGAAGTATATTATATATATGTAACACATTAATATACACAAATACCTCTCACTGAATTATTGAATGTATATATTCTAGAATCTATTCTAGAATGAATGATATGTAAAAGCAGGGTTATAGGAAGGAGTAAGACTGCCAGCATAATATCTAATATAATGCATTCTATAATGCGTAATGTCTAGTTTTTGGAAACTCTAGACAGCATAAAGCTCATATCTCATCATTTGTTACATTTCTTCATATTGTACTTGGTTTTCATTGAACTGATTGAAATATGAGAATGTCTATAAGCTCTATACAGAACCTTTTTTTCTTTCTTTCCCCTCCCTGAAACCTGCTACAAGACTTTCTGTTTTCCTGAAGCATATCTGATTGTTTTAAAGTATAAACAATAAAAGTTTAAAGCTTACTGAGAATAAGATTACTAATTAAACTTCTGTGGAACTGTGCACCTGAAAATAACCTCTACCAATAGGACACTCACTGGTGTTCAAAATGAAGATGCCCCTGTTATACCCCACGACCACCACCCCAGCTTTATGTTGGTGCCATTTTGAATTCTGGCACCAACAGTAATCTTATGTGTTCAGTGTGTTCTCTTTGCAGTAAGGAAGGTCTAAATGGTGTCAACAATAATTGCAGAGCGTGTATGTTGGTCTCTGGTCCCAGCTAGGTCACATGTGTTCTATAATTTAGTATATCTGAGATCTATTGTGTTAGTCAGTTTTTATAAATAACTACCTGAGGCTGGGAACCTTATAAAGCAGGAGGTTTATTTGGCTCATGATCCTGGTTGTCAGAGGATCCCATTAACATGGTACCAATTTCCTAGTGAGGGGTGCAAGATAAAATAAATGTACTAGGTTTAATTAGGTAGCCCATAAGAGAACACTACGAGATATTCAGGCAGGAAGAGAAGTTTGTTGTTTTACCAAACAAGGTGGAGACCACATGGCTGAAAGGAAAGGGGCAGGCTGAGGTCTGAGCTGGGTTTAAGTAGGGAAGGAGAAGGGGGAAGGTGCAGCCAGGTGAGGGAAAGTGTGGCCACACTGGATTCAGTTGTGATCAGGGCCTGAGACCCTCCGCTGGTCCAATGGGAAGTATGACTGGGGGGAGAAGGGGGAGGGTACAATGTACCTCCAGGCTTGCCAGTTACCTAGGTGAACCTAGGTGACACAGAAGTGGGCGGAGACTTAGCTAAGAGGAGGGAGGAACCTGCCCCCCATTCCCAGAGTGAACCTTACAAGGGTCTCTTGGCCTCATTACAACATTGTGTTTGGCTTTGTGACAGGAGCATCTCAAGAAGGAGAGCGCAAATGACAAAGCAAGAAGCCGGAGAGACTTGTCTACCAGGGTTGCTGTATTTATCATTGACTCTTAGGGAAACTAGCTAGAGTCCCAGAGAACGCATCCTGTTCACTTGTTAAAGATATTTTTGTTCACTTAAACCCCATCACAGTGGGAGCCAGACTAACAGCACATGAACCTGTGGGAACCATAGTAAAAACAAGTCCAAATACCTGCATTCATTTTTGCCTAAAAAGTGTTCTGTATACACATTACACTGGGTGGTATGTAAATGTACACCGATGTAATTCACTGACATCAATAGATGCAGTGTAGAACTCAATGAAATTCCTTAGGCAGGCAAAAAAATCATAGTTCAACAAAGTAAATACCGTGAAAGGGGTACTTGAATGGTGTGGGGTAAAGGGGAAAAGGGTAGATGAATGAAGAGAAGTGTTGGAATGCAGTAAAAATAACTCTTTGTATAGCTTGCAAAATGGAGAAAAGTGAAGGAAGGAGTAGGAGGAGAAGGAGAAGGATGAATGTCGAAATGGGTGACATTGGTCAAGGTCATTGCATTTATAAACTTCTTTGTTGAGTGGCAAGTCCTTTATACAACCACTAAAAGATCACGAAACAAAGAATGAAAAAAGAGGCTGGGAAGGTGGCTCAGTGGTAGAGCGCTTGCCTTGCATGCATGAGGCCCTAGGTTCCATTCCTCAGCACCACATAAGCAGAAAAAGCTGGAAATGGCACTGTGGCTCAAGTGGTAGAGCGCTAGCCTTGAGCTTAAGAGCTGAGGGACAGTGCCCAGGCCCAAAGTTCAGGTCCCACGATGGACAAAAAAAAGAAAAAAAGAAAAAAGAATCCATGGTGCTTCTTTTCTCACATATCATATAACATGATCGAAAAATTCACAACAAATGCACTCTATATTGTGCTTCAGAATCAATGAAACTCATTATCATGTGGACTGTGATTTTGTTTTTCAATCACATCTGCAATACTTGAAATTTGAGGGGGTAACAATGCTCGATAGGAAATGTACTCATTAGCTTACTTATGTAAATGTAACCCCTCTGTACAGTATCTTTACAATAAAAATATTTTTTAAAAAAGACAAGAAGAAGCCAGGTGCTGGTGGCTCATGCCTGTAATCCTAGCTACTCAGGAGGCTGAGATCTGAGGATCACTGTTCAAAGCCAGCCCGGGCAGAAAAGTCCATGAGAGTCTTATCTCCAATTAACCACCAAAAAACCAAAGTGGCATTGTGGCTGAAGTGGTAGAGTGCTTGCCTTGAGCTGAATTGCTGAGGGACAGTGCCCAGGCCCAGAGTTCAAGCCCCACAACCAACAACAAAAAAAAAAAAGAAGAAAAAAGAAAGGTAAGAAGAGGAAGAAGATGGAGGGAAAAGTCCCTCTGAGGAGTATTTCTGTTTTGGAGCATTCCGGGAGGGTTAGCAGCTTCCACAGCAATGCCAGCGCCTCGGTAGGATACACAATCAAAGTCTGAATACTGAAAAAATGGAGTTGGCTATGTGGGCTGTGCAGGTTGAACCCTGGTCTCACAGAAAAAAAATTATTTATTTTTACTGTTGTTTTTCCCTTCCTTTAGAGCATCGTGTGCACTGGTCGACGTCAATGGTACCCAGACCCCTCCCTGGTCCACTGCATCCAGTCATGTGAGGTAAGCAATCCTCTTCCTCAAGCCCAGTTTACAGAGAAGTGAGGTAAGCAATCTTCTTCTTCCTCAAGTCCAGTTTACAGAGCAGTGCCCAGCTTGCCATTCCAGACCCGGTCCCTCTCCTGCTCCTGTGTTCTCTCTGTGGTCTCTGAATGTGACTAGATCCACAATCCCAAATTCAGAAAAACTAGGATTCCCGACCTTTAGCTTTAGAAAGATCCTCTTCTTAAGAAAATAAAATCCTGTTAATAAAATAAATCCTCTGACTTAATAAAAAGGAAGTTTAAGCCAGGTGCCGGTGGTTCACGCCTATAATCCTAGCTACTCAAAAGGCTGAAGTCTGAAGATCACGGTTCGAAGCTAGTCCCGGCAAGAAAGTCTTTAAGAATCTAATATCCAATTAATCACAGAAAAAAGCCAGCAGTGGTGCTGTGGTTAAAGTGGTAGAGTGCTAGCTTTGAGCAAAAGGAGCTCAGGGACAGCACCCAGGCCCAGAGTTCAAATCCCAGGATCAGCAAAAAAAAAAAAAAAAAAGGAAAGAAAGTTTAAAGGTAAGTCAGAATTACACCTTTGGGTTTCTGTAAGTAAGCCTTGTACTTAGATTAGGCTTTTGCAACAAAGGTGTCCCTCAGATACCTTTGTTGGTATAGCACAGTGTCTAGAACTGCTTTAATTCAATTGCAAGTGTTTAAAAATTGAGACTTTTTACATAAAATTCAAATGTGCATTCATAATATTATATGCATACACAACAAATAAAAATAAGTATAAAAGTTATTTGGGCAAAAGTTTTCTTTTCAAGAAGCAAGAATACTTGGTGTTCATGGACACAGTCAGCTGGAGCTGAGGAGCAGCTGCAACTTCAGAGGGGGACTTGGTTCTAGTTTAGCAGAATCTTTCCTATTCTGTAGCCCCTCACCTGACAACTTCCTTCCTTAGGTTAACCACACGAGTCACACAAGCATCTATGGTTGTAACCCTCGTGGTAGATCTATAATCTAATGTTCCCTGATACAGACTAGACTTTTAGTCCCTCAAGAAATCCTGTCTACTTTACCTTGGATGCTCCTCCCAGTGGGGATCTTGGAGAGTAGTTAATTCCTGGCTAGCTCGTCTGGAACTAACTTAACAAAGAACGGTCAAGAATGAGGCAAAACCTTGTAGGGAGAAGATGATGCAGGAATCTAGAAGAGAGAAGGAAGCTATACACACTCTATAGCCAGTGACAAATACAAATATTCTAGTCTCAGTTACATCAGACTCTCTTTTTCAATCCAAATCTCTCTGGAAGTAAATAAGCCACTTAGCAGCAATGCCCTAATAGTTCTGGCTCCTCCTTGTGTACTAGTGAGAGCTGTTTTACTGCCATTGATTTCCAGCATCCTCCTCCAAAACACACCCAACCCACACGCATGTCAATCCCTCTATTCTTCTGTATTTCTGTGTCTCTTGTTCTAATTCTGGGAAAACTGAAATCCACACAAAGCCTGAAGAGGGGTGTGTGGGGGAGGGGGGGAAGGGCAGTGTTTGAAAGGAAAGGGAAAACTTGGTGAGGGGAGTGATACCCATAAAATAATGTTCTGCGAGGGCATGGGGGAAATGCTAGCAGAGAGTGTGCTTTGTTATGGTGTGGGCCAACAAAACAGCTCATCTTCTGCCATCATTAGAAAAACAGATGGTAGTGGCGCGGGCGAGGCGGGAGAGAAGGGGAGTGAATCATTCACTGGGCAGGGGGCAGGAAGGGGAAAGAGGAGGCCAGGGAAAGATGGAGATAAACAGACAGAGGACTTGGGGAGCTGGGAAGACATCAAAGGGATCCTGAGAATTCCCTTCTGCTGTTTCTATGCATGACCGCAAGCGGGAGGGTGGATGACAGAGCTTGGAGCTGGCGTTGGTGTTTCCCAGAAGGTTATGATATAACGCTTTCCCCAGTTGTCCTCCCCTCCACCCAGAATCCCAGCAGACACTCTAGATCTTTCATCCAGAGTCTCCCAGGCTGCCATAGCCCTTATGTCGTTCTGACAAACAGTAACTTCCACTGTTGCTTCTCCTATACTCCTCCTTCGACCCTGCCCATATCATGAACAGCTGATCTTTAACCTCTTGATAGGTTTTGGTCCCCCACTCCAAAGGGGCTCAAAGTGTGGCCCCTGGACCAGCATCTCTGGCTCCATCAGGAAGCTTGTTAAAGATGCACATTCCCAGGCCCCACCCCAGGCCTACTGACTCACAAACTCTGGGCATAGAGCCCAGCAGTCTGAGTTTTACCAAGCAGGCCCTCTAGGGGATTCTTCCGACCACTAAAGTTAGAGAACTACCACCTAACCACTGTGGAAGCAGACAGGAAGATTCCTAACCTGGGTGTCCCTATTTGAAGTCTTCATTGTCCACAAGTAATTCTAGCCAATTACATTTTACATTTTGATTTTTCTATATTATTTTGGATTCTTTCTACGCTGTGATTCCCCATTCCCTGTGTCAGATTTGAAAGCCTGGTTTTTGGCTTCTGTTCACTCAGCAAAGCTAAGAACAAGAAAGTTCACTTATGGATCAGAAGGGAGAAAAATAAAAAGAGAGTTCATAACCTTAGGAAAGGAAAGAGACCTGGTTAGGAGAAGAAGGAGAAACAGTTTGGAAGAAACAAACAAGAAGAACTGTGAAGAGGGAGAACGAGAAAGGAGAAAATAGGCTGAAACTGGCATGTGCAAGGGCAAGTTGGCTGATTCCTAATTCTTTACTGGAAAAATCAGCTAAACATATTAGGGAGAAATGAAAAGCATCAACAGCAGAAGAGGGAAAACAAACCCTGAAGCAAGATAAGGCAAAAGAAGCTGGAAGGCTAAAGGAAGTCTTTTTTATAGAAGTTATTTTAAAAAAAAAAAAAAGCAGCCCAGAAATTTGAGCTCAAATTAGACACTTTGCAACCTAATGTCCAGAGGGGATTCTCTGTTTTGCTTTCCAATACTGAAAATAATTCTGAGATGTCCCCTTTAGCCATTCAGCCTTGTAAGCGTGGGGTGTGTCATCCATTATTTCTCCTAGTAAGCCCAAGGCAGTTAGTTCATTCCCTCACTGTTCACCGTGCACTGCCTGCTTCCTGTCTCTTCCATCCTTGTTTGTGTCTTTTCTCCTTTGCCGTGCACATTGTGCTCCCATTTTCCACTACTGTGCTTCTTGGGTTCTTTGAGAGACACCCACAGGGTTTCCTCTAACAATCATGTCGAAATAATTGCCTCTGCTTATGGTGACTTGTGTTTCCATTGTTTGAGCAAGAATATGTGGGCATTCCACATCTGCAATACAAATCTGTTCATCTGTCAAATTCTATCTTTCTATTTGCTTTTCTTGACCTTCTTGACCTGAATATGCCTGTGTTTTCTCTCTCTTTCATACGTTGAAAATGGACAAAGATGGCAAAAAAAAGTTTTTGAAGCCAATCAAGTCCAGATTCAAATCCTGAGTTGACTAGTTGTGTGAGCCTCAGTGACTTGATTTGGATTGGGAAATGAGACACAATGCTATTTGAAGGACTTATTAGGAGAAATTAATGTGCATGATACATTTAATGTCAGGTCTGGCCCATAATAAAGTCTTACAAAGTGGCATGGTTGGTTGTAAGCTCTTAGCCGCTGTGTATATGTTTACCAAATAAGTAAAAAAGTAAACAGGGGAATTGCTGATGGTATGTCCTCAATATAATCAGGGGGAAAAAAACCTCAAAGAAAGGAGCAGCAGCAGGAAATTGTTTCCACAGAGAACCACTGAGATTTTTAATTCACAAATCACTTGGAGACAACTAGTTGTCTATTGTGTTCAATCAGCCACCAACTCAGTAGTCAACATCTCATTCTGAGAAACTCTACTCACTCCTACTCTTAGCCTCCTATCTTAGGCCTTCACATGGCTCATTTGAGCTATAGTAGCTGTCTGTTATGTGTTCTCCCTCATTCTTAGACTTGTGTCTAACAATTGCCCTCACCTTTGCCTCTATTGTTACAACAGAATTCTGTCTCTCTTTTGCGACCCATTGTTTGCACACTTCAGTCAATAATGAATCTCTAGGTAGTAAATGGTTTTAATACTTCCATCTCAGTACTAGTTCACAAGTGAAGAAAACTCTGTCTCATAGATATGACAATCCAAGTGTGAGAAAGGATGTAGCAATATCTATTCTGTGATTGTTTGATCAACATTAATGGGTTCTGATAAAAATAAAAGTTACCAAATTTTATTTATCACTAATACTGAATTACTCTGGCACTGAAAGCAAAGTGGTGCTTTATCACATTGTTAAGCCTCATGAGGTCTTGCCCCCCAGCAGGTACTGAGAAGAGGAGAAACAAAGCTCTAACACTAACAAAGCTCTGATCACTTAAAAGGCCTCCTTAAATCTTAGGCTTAATAAGAGGCTTGGGTCATGTGTGATTCACCATTATGATGTTTTTTGAAGGATTCAGGAACTGTCTAAAGGAAGAAAAGCCAAGTCGTATATGTCATTTTAAAAGAAAAAGAGGTTGAACAAAAACTACCCATATTTACAAGTCTGACATTTCTACTAGAAAAGTTGAAGGATAAATATCTCCAAGACCAAGTCTTATATTTATAAGGAACGTCCTCTCCTTTTCTGATGTTGAGCTCTATAACAGAATGATTGGTCAAAGAGATAAAGGAGAAGTTACTCCTGAAGTTTAGTAGACATGTCATCATAGTCCAAATGAGGTAGCCCTACATCACATTCTACATGTCCTTCTGGAAGGGGCAGTCTACCCAGTGGAGCACTGAGGACTTGTTCTGGCCACATTTTGCCTTTCAACATTTCCTGGGCAATAGGATCAGCTGGTAGCTTCTTTAGAAGCATGCTTAATGCTGATTCTTCCTTTAAAATGCAGATGTTTAGGTTCTGCTTCTCCTTCCTGTTGTTTTTAATAAGAAGCATGCTATAAAACTCCACAATATTCATATTTAAAACAAAGATTCCAGGTGGTTCTAATGCAGGTGACCTT